GACAAACAACGGAAGTGTGTTAATGGTATATGTGGAGGATGAAAGGGCGCCATCATTCAAAATTATTTGAGAGTCATGCGTGATGGTTCTTTTGGTTGCACGAGGCTAGTAGTGGGGTGACACATGTCAAAAACATTGTGTGGTGTCAGTGCTGTCAATCATATGGAGCGCCAAAAGACTTCTGATAACTGAACAATTGGAGGGACCGAGCGAATGTTTTAGCTCGGTCAAAACAAACATTCTTAGCTTGGCTTAAAGTGGATAATCCCAATCACATTTCACGGATGGAATTAAGGGGCAATTGAAAGTGTAATTAGTATGGCCCAAATGGACCGAGATGAATTACATACTCGGCCTACTCTCTACCGAGCTATACGAAATTTTCTTAGAGTTGGACCAAACAGTGGGCCGACAAAAGGGTTTAAATAACCTAGTTTTGGGCCGCCTGGGCTCTAGTTCATTCAGTAGTGAGTCGGTTAAAAGATCATTAGTGGACTGGAGTGACTGCAGTAAGAGGGGTGAGCTAGGTTCAGCTCGGCACCTTATCAGTTAGTAGCTTGGTTTGCTGCCATAAGAACCGAGGTACAAGGTTTTGACCATCTCACTTGGCTGGTAGTGAGTAGGGTGTTATCAGGATATCCATTATCTTGTGGAAAAGTGATTCCTAGAAGGGCTATGATAAGGAGAGTTAGAGTCTTACTAGGAATGTGTCTGGTGGAATTTATAAAAACTCATAACAGATCCTATGGACATGTATTGTAATTCTTATTCTCAAATACACAGAGCTTATTGTCTATTGTCTACTTATTAACTTCGGCATCGAAGGGGTTTCTGGCACACATCCGCCAGCTAGCTCACATTTTTGTTTTCAGGTAGCAAAGCGATGACATGTGGAGGAGTGCAAACTTGGTCAACAAGATTATACAAGAAGATTATTCTGTACTCGTACAATACTCATAAATTTTGTTAGCTTTAAGCAAGTTTCCGACTACTTCAAATTTTATTAACTTTTACATTTTAAGAGTCGCTTAAAATTTTAATCGTATAATCTTGATTTTCAAATAAATTTAATTCACTTGATATATTCATTTTGAAGTGATAAATTTAGTTATCAAACACCATCTTGGTACAACTCTGCTTTATGTTGATTTTGAATTTGATGGTCTTATAGCTTCTTTAATGATATGGTAAAAAAGATAGGACGTGATTTCTCCCAGTTCAAATCATGATCTAGAAAGTGTTGTTCAGACCTATAAAGTTCACTACAAGTTTTGTTTCAATGATTAAAAACATTTATTTTGTTGGACTCTATATATATCATCCACACACAAAAATTAGTTGATCCGATAATAGTATTCTATTCAATTTATCGCATTTATTTCTAAAAAAAAATTGGATAAAAAGTGTGTTTTTTAAAATAAACTACCAATTTTGTTTTAGTGAAAAATGCAATAAATTGAATAGGTTACAATATCGACCTTTTTTTTTTTTTGTAGATGATATACACGAAAAATCCTAAATTATCAAAACGAGACTGTGATAGACCCCATTTGCCCAAACAACTCTTTAATCTAGATCATAGACTGGAGGGGAGTCCAGTCCAAAAACATATTACTATTAAAAAATAGCATGAAGCTAAATTTAAGCTCCTCAAAGGCTAGCTAAATATTGTACTATATTTTATAATTGTTAAACTTTGTTCCAAATTCAGCACAAGGTTTAGATATAATTACGTTCCGTTTGTTTGGCCAACATTTTTATTTTTTATTTTTTGCATTTTCTAACATTTGGTATGACCAAAAAAATGAAAGTTAACATAAAATATTTTTCATAGTCAACGAAAAACAAACTTATTTGGATAGTTTGAAATGTGAAAAATGTTTTTCAAAGCAAAATTTAATCATTGACACCACATGACCACTCTCACCAACACCGCCAAACCCCTCTCCCCAACCACTAGAATATCAGTTTTAAAGTTACAACCAAACATATGAATACAACTTAAAATTAAACATTTTGTAAGAATACCACTAGAACAATATCTAGCAATTTAACTGTTGAACTATGGAAGGTTTTGCTACACAGCTCCAAAAATGGTAATTTTATTTACACACCATTTTTACTCTCAATTCACACCATTTTAGGGGGAAAAAAACCCTAAATCTAATCCCTGCGCACCAACCACCACTACTTGCACTAGTTGTCAATAAGCCACATCTTTCTTCTTTAGCTGTTGTCGTGGCTCCGCCACCGCCTACCCAACCCCGTTGCTCCACCACTACCGTTGTCGCCTTTCCAGCCTCATCACTCCTTCATCGCCATCTCAACCTCGTCACTATAGAAACCATCACCAACAATCGACTACTCTATGAGCACCATCATCATGCTTGCAAATCCTAGTGACCCACTACCATCACAAGTTATCCCCAATCGGCGACTAGCCACGGGCAATCTAGAGAGAAAATGAGAGATATATGTTTGAATAAGGAAATGGAAGTGGTGTTGGGAGGGGGCGATGGGGTCGCAAATGGTGGGGGTTGCAATAGTAGTGGTGCAGTGGTGGTAGGGACAATGATGGTGGTAGGGTAGCGGGGGGCGAGTGTTGGTGGCTGAAAGGGCTAAGTATAGGCAACGAGGGAATGGGCTATTGCGATGAGGAGGGGAAGGGTGCCAACTAGCAACTGACAATGACAGTGATTAGGGTTAGGGTTGGCTAGGGAAGATGAGGATAATTTGGTATTATTCAAAAATTGGAGATGTGTATTGTGATAAAATCCAAAGTTTCAATTTGTGTGTAGTATGAATTGAGCAAACAACTAAATAATAGTGTGTATTAAGATGAATAATAATGAGTAATAAAATTTGCCAGCTCCAAAAACCCCCTGGCAAAATCGCTCCATTAATGCAAATATAAGTTGATTAATTCAAAATTGAGTGACATTGTCTTATTATTGTGTTCACGAGACAAATCAACTGAACAAATGATGGTGAAATAAATAAATGAACTTGTCAAAATTATTACACTTTATGGGTTCAAACATTGCAACTCAGGATCACCTTGATCCATGTCACCGAGAGTTTGGACTAAAGTGTTATTTCTAATTTTTTTTATTTAAATTATTGGAGGGTTTATGTCACACACAATATTTTTTAGAATAGACTTGATTTTTTAAAAAATAAAATAAAAGTGGAATTGACACAATAAGTGGATAATTTTATCCCCATCCTCTTCAAACTTAAAATTAGATTAAGATATTAATTAAAATTAAATTATATTAAATTATAATTAAGGATTGATTTAAAATATAAAATATAAGGATTGATTTAAAATATAATTAAATTAAAGTATAAAATAAATAATAATTTACGATTGATCTAAAATATACTTAAATTAAAATTAGATTAAGATGTTAAGAATTACAATAAATAATTAAGGATTTGGGATTAATTGTGATTTAAAATATAAGTAGATTAAAGAGTTAGACATTTCAATAAATAATTAAGAATTTAGGATTAATTGTGATTTAAAATATATTTAAATTAAAATTAGATTAAAAAATTAAAAATTACAATAAAAAATTAAAAAATTATGATTAATTGTGATTTAATTGAATTAGTGTTAAAAATTATAAATTATGTGTATGAGATAGAAAAGATAAATAAAATAACAAAAAAAAAGTTTGAGAATATTATAGTCATTTCACATCTATAGTTAATAAAGTTAACAGTAGCATTTTAGCCCAAAATCATATAACGACTTTCTAACTATATTTGAACCATAGGTGGCATAAAGTCCTCCAGTCTCAAACCACAAAGGGTAAAATGAAATTTTTTCATAATTAAAACTAAATTAAATTGTGTCATTTAAAATAAATTTTTAGCTTTCTTAATAATTAAATAAGTCATTACTTTGTAAGTTAAGGTTTTGATATCTTAGGCGAAAGTTAAGTTATAGATCAGTAATTTTCTAAGATGTCAATACTGTAATACTATAAATTTAAAAATTATTCAAAAAAATTAATATATAATTCACATTTATTTTATACATAAATCTCATAATACACACTTTCAATTTTCATCTCCTATTATTATTTTCGACCCCGCTAAGTAGCTCGAAACTCAATGGCTCGAATTTGGCTCGACACCAAAACGACGTCGTTTTGGTGTCTTTTTTTTTTCTTTTTTTCTTTTTTCCTGTGTTTTTGTTGCAAAAGGAAGAAGAAAAAGAAGGGAGAAGAAGAAGAAGGGTGGGTCTGCAGATCGGAAGGAGGGGGAAGGAGGAGGAAGAAGGAGAAGTGAAGGGAAGGGGGCCATAAAAATCGGGCTGGACGAGGAGGCGGGGCCGGAGGCGGGACTGCGACGAGCTGCAGGGGCTGCGACGGAGGAGAAAGAAGAAGGACTGGAAGGGAGCTGCGACGACGGCGGGAGCTGCGACGACCTCTCCTCTCTTTCTCCTTCTCTCCTCCTCTTCCCCTCTCCTCTTTCAAGCCATTTTTCAAGCTAATTTCTCAAGCTACCAATCGTTTTCCTATTATTTTTTACATAAATTTAAGACTCAAAGTTTGAGTCTAGACTTCTTAGACTTTTTGGTGTGAATGAAGGGAACCATACAGCAACGGAGAGGATATGATCTGGATATGATACGGATAAAGTCACATAAAGAGCCTAGAAAGAACCTACTTTATGCAGGACACGTGAGTGTGTAGGACTTTGACTGAGCATCCTAGTTTGACTCCATCAATTTCTTGTATATTCACATACAATCAGCTTTATAATTTTATAATTTTTTTTTAAAAATAAAAAATAAAAAAAAAATAGAGAACTTTATCTCTCCCTCACTCCAACAAACAAAAGGGAAAGAAAAAGTCAGCCATGCAGCTTTTCAATTCCAAAGAAAAGTAAAAGGGAAGTATTTTCCATAGCTATGGCCTGCTGGCTGGAGCTGAAATTGTCTTATCTTACAAGATGTCTATAAAAGGAGTCTCCCCATTAAACACACCCCAACCAAAGCTTTAATTTCCTTAAGGCAAAGAAAAGAAAAGAAAATCCTGAAATTCTCTCATCTCATGGCTTCATTTCAATTTATAGCTGCAGCATTCTTCTTGATTGCTGCTGTTGTGTTTGGAGGATCGAATGCTCAATTGTGTCCCACATTTTATGATAGCACATGCCCAAATGTCTCGAGCATAGTACGCAGTGTCCTGGAGCAGGCTCAACGAGATAATGTCCGAAATGCTGCCTTTCTCACTCGACTTCATTTCCATGATTGCTTTGTCAATGTAATAATACCCTTTCTTCCTGTTCTATGCATTTGTCTTTGTGTGTTGCAAACATCTTTTTTTTATGGTCATAAGAAACTCAAATTTATGTAAACTTATATATGTCAATTCATGTATAACTAACTAACTGTCTTTGCATGCAGGGCTGCGATGGGTCCATTTTGCTAGACAACGCAGATGGAATAGAGAGTGAGAAAAATGCAACTATTAATTTGTCAATTAATGGATTTGCTGTTGTTGATGACATCAAGACTGCATTGGAGAATGTTTGTCCAGGTGTTGTCTCCTGTGCTGACATTTTGGCTATTGCAGCTGAAATTTCAGTTGTTTTGGTACGTAAATTAATTTCAATATACATTAATATTGGTGAATAGAATCTACAAAAGACTTTGTTTGCAAAACCCATGTAACTGTCAGCCAAGTTTCAAATATCAACCAATACCTAGCGTATTGGCCTATATGTTTCATTTTCCCCCCAATAGTATATGGCTCGATAACTTTAATTACTTGAATCTTGCATAAGGGAATTAAGTTGGGATTAATAAGGCCTTATATATATTGTGTTAATTAGTCATAACAATATATAAATTAATGCGAGTGATTTATTGCAGTCAGGAGGTCCATCATGGGAAGTTCAGTTAGGAAGAAGAGATAGCAGGACAGCAAATCGAGCTGGCACTAGTGCCCTCCCAGTTTTCAATGAAAGCCTTAGTACCCTAAAAGACAAGTTCAACGCTGTTGGACTTGACTCCACCGATCTAGTTGCTTTATCTGGTAAAGACTATAAACTTAATTTAACATTTCTTTCTTTGATTACAATTACTATTTCCCTTGGTATGAAATTTATGAGCTCAACAAATCATTAATTTCCTTCTTTCTTCATTAAGAAAAAGAAAAAAAGGAGGAAAAGCACTCTTTACACAAATCATCTATAACAACTAACAACAAATGTTTTCATTCCATTTGCAGGTGCTCATACATTCGGACGAGTTGGATGCTTGACTGTGACCCCACGCCTATACAACTTTAACAACATTAGTGGAAATGCAGACCCAACCATAGACCCAACCTACTTGAAAACACTTCGGCAAACATGTCCAGATCCCAACACTCCTGCAGGCAACAACACTAAGTTCACCTTAGCCAATCTTGATCCCACTACTCCCAATGGCTTTGACAACAACTACTTCACTAACCTCCAGAACAACCAGGGACTTCTCCAGACTGATCAGGAATTGTTCTCCACTAATGGTGCTGAGACTGTTGCCATTGTTAACCGCTTCGGAAATAGCCAGAGCGACTTCTTCACTAGCTTTGCTCAGTCCATGATCAATATGGGAAACATAAGTCCACTGACAGGAAACAATGGAGAGATAAGGTCTAATTGTAGGAGGGTTAATTAATTGGGTCTTATGATATCGTGGGAGAACATACAAAAGTACTATATATTATTTGTTTGGAATTTTGGCATTTGTTTTTGTTTTTTGTTTTTTGTTTTCCTTTTTTGTTTACAAAATGTCATGCAAGAATTGTATTAAACAATTGATCAATGGAATTAAGATCCAAAAATAAAATCATCACAAATATGGGAGTTTAGTTACTTTTATTCATTTTTGTTTGCCATACATCAATAGTTTAATCATTTTCTCTAAAACATAACAAGGAAATTGTCCTACTCATTAGAATTCTACCACCATAAATGGAAAAAGAAGCAAATGCGAGGAGCCGCCACCATGCGATGAAGAACCAATTCCTGGTACATGATCTAAGGAAGACAGTCGAGTCAAACAGAACAGGGTCATCAAAGTCACCATGACAGGAAGAAATAATTGCCTTAGCAAATCTTAATGGGTGACAATCCACATAATATATTAACCCTGAGAAAGCTTGTTAGGTCGAAAACCCAAAAGGCGACCTATGCAAAATTTAGAGCAAAAAAAAAAACAGAGAAAAAAAATTGAAAAAGAAATATGGCAAAAATGGAAGCTCGTAAAGTTAAAAACTCAAAAGAGCAATCTTCGCAAAAGTTAGAATACGAAAAGAAAGAATGAACACCCAAGTGAACCTTAGCCTGAACTACAGACGGCCTAATTCCCACATTAAGGGTATGTAAGCAACTCCACATTGGAGTTTGACCCCATCTCATTCAAATCCCATTATCCGTCAATACCTGTCATCAATCTAAGCAATTGAATGTCAAGATTTTGGGGGATTTTATTTGCCCAACCTATTGGATTCAATTGAAAGAGTTGTCCAATTAGTAAGCTTGTGATGGATCGTTTCACACACCAAAAATAAATACTAAATTATACCAAATTCTTTAGAATAGTGGTAAGCCCAGGTATCGATCCACAGGGACAAACAAGAAATTAAACTAACTTAATTGTTAAATTCATAATTCAGTTTAGATTAAAAACATGATGATTCATAACCTGATGATAATTAAATTAAACAAAACGAATAAACTAGCAATTATAAATAAAGACGAAATTACTGATTTTGAGAAAAATCTAGGTTAATGAATTTACCACTAGTTACATAAATAAGGCTTTAATTTGAGACTCAATTATGTTACGGTTCGAACTAAATAATATTTCAAAAAACTACAAGCTCGGGGTCTGTTTGGTAATGTTTACGTTTTCAGTTTATATTTACAAAAATTTTATAAACTGGTTTTTATTTATTTTTTGTTTATTTTTAGAAAAACATAAACTACAAACGCATTTGGTAATTGACAAAATGCTTAAAATATTTTAAAAATACAAAAAAGAGTGAGAAATGACAAGTGGCGGCAGAAGACGGTAGTGGAAAGTGGTGACGGTGGGTGGTGGGTAGCGGGTGGGTGGTGGTGGTGGGTGGTGGTGGGTGGTGGTGGCAGGCGAGTGGCAGATGGCGGGTGGTGATGGGTGGTGGCGAGTGGGTGGTGGTAGCGGGTAGGTGACGGATGGTGGTGGTGGGTGAGTGATGCAACTTTCATAATAATGGTTCTCGCTCAAATTTAAATTACAAAATCACCCTTACAATCATTAAACTCATTTATTTGTCCATGTTAGGCAATTTTCAATTAATTTGCACACCCAAAAAAATGAGTGGAAATGAAATATGGACAAAAAAAAAAAAAAAAAAAAAAAAATC